AGAGAAACTTGAAATTCTGAGCAGAAACAAGAGACGTTAACTAAGCATATTTGAAAAAGAAAGAGAAAATATAATTGAATGTATACCCTCAAATAAAGTTCCAGAAAGAAATAATAAATGGAGAAGTATCATTCAAAGAAATAATACTGAGAATTTTCCAAATTTGTTGAAAAATACCAACCCTCAGATTAAGATGTCCAACAAATCCCAAGCAGTTCAAATACTTGTATATGGAGACATAGATGTAGAAGGAGGTAACAAAGATGAGTATTTATATTAGACAGTTGGAGACAACAGAGTCGCCCACAGGGGAATGAGAGGTAAAAAGTGAAATTCATAACAGCAACAGTGGAAACCATAAGACTGTATGATAATATCTTCAAAGTGTTGATTAAATAACTCAGCCGAAAATTCTATACCGAGTGGAACAAGGGAAAGTGAGAAACTTGAGAGTTTAGCACCAAATGACCCTCACTAAACGAATTCTGAAGCATGTAATTTACATCAAAGGAAAGTGACCTCAGGTGCATGGTCTGAGCTGCAAGGAAAAAGAATGACCCAAGATAACTATTGAGTTGTTGGAAAAGTCATGACGCATATTTGCAACAGATGGCACTAGTTCATTTTTGGAAGTACTAGAGTCATTCGCATCTAATGTTATTGCTATGTCCTTTGACAGCTGACAGTTCTAGCTTCATTCTAAAAAAAATTGAGCGATTTAGTTGAGTTTTGGAGATTTTACAACAAGTTGAAGATGGAAGACCAAGCTGTGCATTTTTGCTGCATTTTACTGTTTTACTTCCATAAAGGGAAGAACACACATCAGCTTGTGAAACGCTGCATAAAGTTTATGGTGACAATACTCTACAAGAACGTCAGTGCCAATGATGGTTCATGAAATTCCGTGCTGGTGATTTTGATCTAAACGACGCTCCTCGGTCGAGGCCCACCGAGGTTGATGAAGACAAAATAAAGGCATTGATCAAGTCAAACCCATGTTACATGACACAAGAGATTGCAGAAACATTGAACATCCATCATTCAAGCGTTCACGACCACCTGAAGAAGCTGGGATACGTAAGCAAGCTCGATATTTGGGTTCCACATGAACTCAAAAGTTCATTTGATGGCACGTATAAACATCTGTGATATGCTCATTAAACATGAGGAAAGCGATCCTTTTTTGAAGCGACTGATAACTGATGATGAAAAGTGGATTGTTGACAACAATGTGGTGCACAAACGGTCTTGGTCCAGACATGATGATTCGTCTCAAATGACATCGAAAGCAGACATTCATCAAAGGAAGGTTATGCTCTCAGTGTGGTGGGATTTTAAAGGTGTCATGTTTTTCGAGCTTCTACCAAGGAACCAAACAATCAATTCAAATGTGCACTGTCAGCAATTGGACAGTTTGAACAAATCCATCATCCAGAATTGTCCAGATCTTGTTAATTGTAAAGGAGTTGTGTTCCATCGTGACAATGCTAGACCACACACAAGTTTGATCACCTGTCAAAAATTATTGGAGCTTGGATGGGGTGTGTTGCCACACCCACCGTACTCACCTGACCTTGTGCCTTCAGACTTCTACTTGTTTCACTGTCTTCAAAACTCCTTGCATGGTATAACATTCAATTCAGATGAGGCTGTAAATCAGCACCTTGTTCAGTTTTTCACAAATAAAGACAGGTCCTTCTATGAACGAGGAATAATGAAGTGCACTAAAAGATGGCAAAAGGTTATCGAACAAAATGGGCAATATATCATTGATTGATCTTTGTTCTTTATATAAATAAATCACCTTTGAAAAACATAGACAATTACGTCATGACTTTCCCGACAACCCAATATATGACAATCTAAATAAACCAATGATGACATATGAAGCAAAGGTAATTTGTGGGGAAAATAAAGCAGGCTAGATTTAAAATGCCAAGTTACAGTAGCTTATAAGTTGGGGGGCAGGGGGAGGTGGTGCAGATTGGAGCATAAAGTATTGCTAGGTCATTGTATTGTCCGGGAGAAGATTATGACTACTGATTATGTGTAACTTGTTAAATATGTATTAAATGGGGCAAACGCTAATAGAATGGACCTAATAAAAAGAATCAAGCAAAGAACAGGCAAAGGAAAACAAAAATAGTCCAAATGAAGGCGAGAGAGGGGGAAAGAAACAGGTAAAATGGGACCAATTACATTTTGGTGAGTAGACTAAATTCTTTCGTTAAGGCCTTAATAGTTACACAATATTAAAAAAAAAATCAACTATGTGCTCTACAAAAGACATACCTTAAGAAAACAGAAAACTAAAAGGCTAAGTTATGTAAAAGATAGACTAGGCAAATAGTAATCAAAAGGAGGCAAGTATAGGCATATTAATTAAAATGCAGGTAAAAAGCATTCTTAGAAAAAAGGAAATTTGCTGCATAATGATAAATGACTCCATTCACTGAGAAGATGTATCAATTCTAAATTTGTGTGCACCACATAAATTTGTGTATAGCGTCATATAAAGCTAGACTGACAAAATTAAAGGAAAAACTTGTCAAATCCGTCATAATAAATTTTAACATACTTACTAGTAATCAATAGATCAAATGGCCACCCCCAAGGAAGAAAATACAAAATGTAAGCAGTATAACTACCGAACTTGAGCTAATGGACTTGACTGCATCTGATGTCTGGAAAAGGCACGCTCCTTTCGAGCACACACAGTACACCTGCTGGGGCTGACACCAACTGGACATAGAGCTGGCTGGACTTGGTATACTCAAAGGGTCAGAATCTGTCTGATCACAGTTTTATTTTTTAACCACAGTGTATTTAAGTTAGAAAACAAAGTCAATAAGATAATTAGAAAAATTCATTCACTTGGAAATTTAATAACACTCATAATCAACTCATAGGTCAAAGGAGAAATTATTGAAATTAGAAAATTTCATCATGCAACTTTTCGTATCAAACTCATGGGATACAATACTTGGAAGAAAACTTAGAGTATTAAATGTTTACCTTTAAAAAAATAAGAAAGTTAAAAATGGAACTAAGATCTAATATAAATCGAAGACCTACAGATGCAGAAGGAAGGAAATTAAAAGAACAGAAGTTCATGAAATGAAGAAGCATACAAAAGAAGAGATCAACAAAACAAAAACTGCTTGAAAAGATAAGGTTCATTTTTTAAAACCACAAATAAAATGGAATGAAAAAAAGAATATAATCACAGACACTACAGAGAAAAAAAGGTAAGAGGATTTTAAGAACAAGTCTCAACACACGTCAAAACGTTGATATAATGTGATGACTATGTAGAAAGATAGAACTTAGCAAAAAAGATCAAGCAGAAAGACAAAATTAGAATAATCTTTAATTGTAAAAGAAATGCAATCAATAGTCAGATATGTTATCATGGAGAAAACACCAAATTCAAAAGGCTTTCTCTGAATGCTACCAAACATTTGGGAATCAGATAATTCCATTCTTACACAGAATGGAGCAGAAGAAACTCATGCACACGGATGAAACAACTCCAAACAAATATCACCCAACCAAATCCAACAATGAATGAAAAAATCATGATCAAGTTAGGTGTAATCCAGGCATGCAAATGATTAATGTTAGGATTTTATTAATAGAGTTTACCACATTATTTAATAGCTTAAAAAGGAAAAATTACATCATTTCAATAGATAAAGAATATGAAATTCAACATCTATATGACATTAAAAAATGTCAGCATAGTTTTAAAAGAATAGAAATTTCCTTAACTTGATAAGAGACATCTACAACAAATATCCAGCAAACACAGTTTATGGTGAGACATGGAAAGCACTCCCTTTCAGGTTAGGAATGAAGTGAAGATTTCCTCTCCATCATCCTCCCTTTCTTCTCTTTAGCACTACACTGAGGCTTGAGCCAGCCCAGTTGTCAAGAAAAAGAAACAAAAGTTTTAAGGGTGGGAATATAAAATAATGTAGCTGCTGTGGAAAACATGTATGGTGGTTCCTCCAAAAAATAAACAGAATTACCATATGATCCAATAATGGTATTTCTGGGCATATACCAAAAAAAACTGAATTCAGAGACACAAAGAGATATTCACACACCCATGTTAACAGGAGCATTATGCCCAGTAGCTAAAAGGTGATAGCAACCCAAGTGTCCGTTGGCAGATGAATGGATAAACAAAATATGGTATAACTATGCAATGGAATATTATTATTCAGCCTTAAAAAGGAGGGAAATCCTGTCACATGCTACAACATGGATAAACCTTGAAGACATTATGCTAAGTGAAGTAAAAGGACAAATACGATATGATTTGACTTATATAGCTCCCTAGAATAGTCAAATTCACAGAGCCAGAAAGTAGAATGGTGGGTTCCCAGGGCGGGAGGGATGGGGAGTTAGTGTATAATGGGTACAAGGTTCATTTGGGAAGATGGAAAGGTTGTGGAGATGGATGGTGGTGACGATACATGACAATGGGAATCTATCTACTGCTACTGAACTGTATACCTAAAAATGATTAAAATGGTAAATTTTGTACTATGTACATTTTACCTCAAAGTTTAAAAAGTTGTAAGGATTCCAAAGGAAGAAACAAAATTACTACTATGCAGATTTTATGACTGTCCATAAACGCTGCTCTCCTGAAGCCAGTGCTTCCTACTAAGCCCAGGGTTTTTTTTATTGCCTATAGTTCATGAATGGGAATGTTTCAGAGACTATATGCAAAATTATGTATCATTTTTCTGAGAACAGAAAATGTCCATTAGACTGTCAGTCTATGACCCACAGCGATATAAGAGCCTATCCGAGTGGCCCCTCCCCATACTGTTCACCTCACCCCTACCCTATCCCCACCCCTGCAGCTCTGCAGGCACAGCACAGGCTGTGACCCGACTCCCTCCTATCAGTAATGGCTGGGATCCTTCACTCGCCTCCAGTCTGCTTCCCACCTTCCTCAACCCCTCCCTCCCCACCCAACACCACTTTTCTCTTTCTCTCACTCTGGTGGTTTAAATGTGATATGAAATATATTCCTAAATCTTTCTTGAATTCATTGAACAAGGTTTAGTTTTTTAATATAGGCGAGGCTCTGAAATCAAGCAAACTTCAGGTTTTTTCTCTTACTCTTCATTTCTTGAATGATAACATTAAACAAGTCCAGCTCTAGCTCTGGGCCTGAAACCCAGAAAGCCTAGTTCTGTAACCTTAAATAATGTTCAACTACACTTTCTTGCTGGTTTTATATCTTGCATCTAAAGTGGACTAAATTTTAACAAATGCAGGATGCTTGCTGAGTCCCGGGTGTGTGTGTGGGGGCGGTGGTGATGATTCTTGGAAGGGTTACACTTGGGATGATAACGGAGGAACTTCAACTGCAGAAACATCCAGGGGATAAAAACTGTCACCAGCTTAATTTTCATCCAAATCCATTTTGAGACTTTTCTTTTTAACAAAATGCTTTTATTGCTATTTTTAAATGAAATGTACTGTTGCATGAAATATCTAAAGGCACTTATATTCTTTAACTCTTCCTTTCTGGTCAGAGAAAGTGGGCAGAAAAAAACTGAAATAAAGCACAACAGAAACCAACTAGCGTCAGGCATCATGAAGAAGACAGAGGATGGCCCCTGGTTTCTCGTACACCACGTCATAATGGTCAGTAGTCGTCGTAATTGACGCTGGCTCCATGCCGAAAGCTGTCGGGGCTCCGGGGACCAATGGGGGCGTCTTCATCATAGTGACGGTGGTAATCATAGTAGTCGTGTCCGTTCCGATCTCTGTTCAGCCAATAGGTGACATCATCTTCAAATTTCTGGGGGAGAAGACAGAAAACCACAGAGAATAGATTTAGGGACACACACACACACCCTGACCACATCTTACCTCCGGCTTTCACTGTGGTGGTTTTTCTTTAAAGCTTACAGCCCTCACTAAGAATAACTCTTTGACATAGCATTCCCATGCTCAGGGGTCATTGCAGCCAGCTACAGAAGACTGATAAAAGGTATCTTCCCCCAAAGGAGTACACACCCATACCCATGACAACTTCTGTCATACGACCTCTAAATATATCCCAGACTTAAACATTTTTCTTTTTTGGTAAATAAAACAGATATCTGCCAAATACAGCAGCAACTTGGCCTGACCCCCTGGCACCACCCACGTCTCACTGTGGCAGGCACCGTCTTACCTTCATGTCCCATCCCTGTGCCTGGTCCACCCTAGTGCACACAGTAGATGCTAATCAGTGTTGGCTGAACTGAGTCAGCTCTAGCACTGACATATTAAAGCCACAGGGCAGGGTGTTTCGAATGCTCCTGACATTGACTCTTAGAACTGTGGTGTCACTTAGAGCAGGTACAGGTGCCCTTGTTTGTTCCACAGACACTGATTAAGTGGGTACAGCATGTCAGGGCCTGCCCTGGGACTGGAGGGCCCCCCAACACAAGAAAGACATTTTCCGTGGTCAAGAAGTCCACAGTTCCCAAGAGACACATATGAAAGCGATTTAGTTGCAGTTAATACAAACCAAAGGGAAGGAGGAGGACTAAGATGAGTGAGAAGCGTAGAATGACATTCAGGGTCACACAGCTTGGGCACCAAGTCTTTGCTGTTAATCCATTTTTACAGGAGAGACTAGTTTTCCGCTGTTGGTGGTGAAGGTGCACGGTGTACTTGGATTAAACTCAGGATGTGGCCAGAGCTTTGGTGTGAGGGCAAAAAGGCAGAGCAGACACAGATGGCTGGGGAGGCCGGAGCGAGTGTGTGGACAAGTCTGGGCTTCAGGGTCCATTTTCTTCAAAGGCTGGCCGATACTGCCACCCCCCACCCAACCTCCCACCCCCGCCCCGGGGCACCCAAATCTCTAGGGATGCTGGAAAACACATATCCCCAGGCACCGCGGCACGCCTCTTGGACCGAACTTTCTGGTGGCTGGGCCTCAGGAACCTATTTTTATTTTAATAAGACTGCCAATGAGCTCTAATATCTGAGAAACTCCCTGAGGCTGGAAACTCCGGCCTTGCCTGCGATGGTGCTCTCTGCGGCCGTCCGCTCTGCGCAAGCAGTGGGCTGACCATGCCACTCTAAAGAGGAGGAAGTGGGACTCCACGCCTGTCTCCATTTACTTAGCCTGGGGGTGGTGGCATCATCAGAGCCCTTCCCCAGCCTCTGCCTCAAAAAGGAGAACACCCAGGACTCCAGGTTTTGCAGTAGCAAAATAATCTCAGTCTCTGATTTTTCTCATTTTAAAATCTTGTTTGAAGTTTTGGCTTAAAACATATTTTTTCAAGAAATTTTTAAATGTTTTATGACTACAGAGTAATGCAGACTCGTAATTTAAAATATGTATGGGGAAGGGGACAAAGAAAAAGGGGGATCATAATTCCATTGCCAAAGACAGCCACTACCAACATTTTGATGGATTTCCTTCTAGTCTTGTCTATGCATAATCATTATAATCTTACTTGATCCTCACTTTTATTCTGCTTTTGTCATCAGACATTATTTTAGCCATTTCCTTTAATACCCAGGTTTATGAACTGCAAATACTGGTAATCAAAGAATGCGAAGTGCTAAACGATGATATAGCATTTTCATCTATCAAATAAGTACATGTATTTAAGTTTTTAGTGAGAATGCAAGATGCTGCTGAAGATGTGAGAAAATGGGTGCCCTCATACATGACTTACGGGAACATGCAATTTGGCAATATTCAATGACCCTTAAATGTAATTCTATCTTTGCTCCACTAACTCCACTGAGCAGAATGCAATACTAACTAAGAAACAAACTACACACAGATACAAATAATAGTACCTGCCTTTGGGGTTGTTGTGAATGTTAAGTAAGTTAATTCATATAAGAACTAAAATCATTCCTAGCACGGAGTTTGACTATTTGCACAACCAAAAAAAATTATATTTGAGTAGCGAAAGATAATTGGGGAAAAATTAGTATGTCCAATCGTTGGGAACAGGAAGAAAATGATGATATGGCTACAGGTTTGCATTTTATGCAGCTACTGAAAATGATGTCTCTTCAGGTTCCCTGCCCATTTTTTTAATTGGATTGCTTATTGTTTTGTTGTGAAGTTATATGAGTTCTTTATACATTTTGGATATTAGCCCCTTATTGTTTGCAAATATCTTCTCCCATTTGGTCGGTTACCTTTTAGTTTTGTTGATGGTTTCTTTTGCTATGCAAAAGCTTTCTAGTTTGATCTAGACCCATTCATTTATTTTTGTTTCCCAATAAATTTAATTTTTTAAAAAAAATGATGTCTCTAAAGAGTTTAATTTTTTTTCACCTATAGTAATGTTTTATATACACCCTCGGTTCACAATATGAATCATGGCTCCCTGGCTGGGGTGGCGGGTTGAGAGTTCTCCACACCATGCCTCCCACACTGCGATCCTCCGGAGCCCCACCCAGCCCTGTCAGTCACTCTGCAGCCTTATTCCTGTGCAGAAGAAACCCCCACCTTACCCCTGAGCTGTCTTACCTGTAGCTGGTACCCAGCAGTCTGTGATTATAAACATTCCTTTTCCTTAATTCAGTGAATATGTCCACTCACGCTACCTGGATGCACGACCTGACCATCTTTTCCTGCAACTGCATTGACAAAAGCATCTGCAAAGACTCATCTCATTGTCTTTATGGGTCTCTATATTGATTTCATTGTTTCTGACATTTTTAAGGTAAGGGTGAAAATGTTTGGGGGAGGTTCTAAGTTATTTTAAGGATACCCAGGCAAAACTGTTAGAAGTGTTCCTATGAAAATCAGATTCTCAATGTTCCAGCCATTTGGGGCAGTGACCTCTCTGGAATTCTGCTTCCCAAACATGTTAGGAGGGATTCCCATTTGGACAGTGTGATGGGAAATTCCAGCTGATGTCCTCATACTGATAGTAATATAACCTGATGCGTGGACAGCACTTGGCATATAATAGGGCTCATACTTCTGGAGCGAATAATGAAGCCAATTTCTGTGCCCTGTTTTCCCCAAGCCACACTGCCCTGCAGGAAGCCAGGATCCCAGCAGGAGAGAATACCCACCGCCTCGTCGAAGCCCATATAGAGGAACTGCTGGTACCACTGCTGGACCTCTGGCCGGCTCCGGTCCCACAGCTGCCGTTTCTGGCGCTTCAGGCTGCCTAAGAATTCTTTGGCTTTGCTCTCGTCAACAGCCACTTCAGCCTTAGTTGGAGCAGGTGCTGAAATGATTAATCCCCACCCCGAAAGTACCAAGAATGATTTCTTTTCTTGTTGAGGTGAATCACTGATACACATCCCATCCCCCCAGTGCCACGTGCTGAGATGGTTTTGACTCAGCTTCATCCTTACCTGCGGTGTGATCATCAGTCTCCATGCTCTTTGTTCATAAGCTCTCCTATTTGGGAACAGCCATATAAAAGGGTGTGATCGAACCTTCAACTTCTAAGGCCCAGGATAGAAATGATTTTCAGCTCATCCTCTGCAGCCACTCACCAGACCACATGGAGGAGGCTGGTGGCTTACCCACTGGGCTTTGCATTTGGGAAACAATGGGATGTCTAGCACTCCCCTGGTGCGTGCTCATTGTACATGCAAACAAGAGAATACTGCTTACTTAGGACGATGGTAGGGAGAACAAAGGGCTGGAATGATGTACTCTGAGAGGGCTGGGGCCAGGCCCAGCCTCACAGGGCAGGCAGCAAGTCCTCACATGGGGTTGCTAGAACACACAGTGCCGCCTTGGGCCACCACCTCTAGGCCTCACAGATCATTGACGAGTTGACTGAGTCTTGCAGGCTACTGATGCTTGCTCTAACACAGCTTCCTCTAATGTCTTTCTGCGTGGCCTCAGCTGTGTAAAAGGCACCCCCTCTGCAGGATGTGCTTAGGGGAAGCAGCTGTGCCACTGGGTTTGCTCTCGTGGTCTGGCTTTGAGCCTCTGTCCCCTCACCTATAAAACTGGACTGGCCGTCCCTAGCTCTGTGTTGTTATGAAGGCTGTATAGGATAATAGAAGTAAAGTGCCCTATGTGTTCATTGTCACATGGGTAAATATCAGCAGGTTTGCTTTTTCACCTCTTGTTCATCTGTGTGTTTCCCTCATGGCCTGTTACACTGTTTTGTACACAGTAGGTGCTCCATATGTGTTTCTTGGCTTGAATTGAATAAAAATTGAGGCTGTACACCCAGGAGTTGTGATTATCCTGGTGGTTTCCTCTCCAGCCCCACTTTTGTCAAGCTGGCCCTACAAGACCTTCCGTCATCTGGGCGTCCATGGGGAGATGGTTGGCTGCCCAGCACAGGGCAGGGGCCCTCAGGGGTGCCTCAGAGATTGAGGGGGGACCAGGACCTCATGAGCGACTGGAAGTGCTCAGAAAGATGCTGGGAGCTCCCATTGGAGCCCCCTGACCTGAGAGGGGCCACACGTGCTCAGCACCTGCGGTGGACCTCTGAGGCATCGACTCTGAAGAGGGTAAGTACTGGAGGTCCCATCAGGAGCAGACTTGAGCCTCCTAGAGTCCCTGCTAACTCAAAGTGACAAGAATAAGTGATTAAATGTTCACAACAGAAATGTGATCACACTTCCTAATTTCTAAGGGACAGATAACAGCTTAATTGTACAGGTGAAGACAAAAATTCCAAGAGGGAAAATGGCCTTCATGAGACCACACAATTGGTCTGATGGATGGACCTGACAACAGTGGGCCCAGACTCACACTGCGTCGCTCCCAGACAGTTCTATTTCTACAACATTTTGCCATCCACCACATTTATCTGAGGAGTATTTTTCACAACAGGTGTTAGCAACAAAGAGGTTTTTGTGTTTCACCCGCTCCCTAATAGCTAATTAGATCTAGGGTACCAGTACAATACAATCTGTGCATACCCACCAACTGAGCTTTTCTGTGCTCTAAAGGACAGCTCTAAATTTAGATATGTTCTGAAACAAATAGTATTCAATTAACACTATAGCACTGTTTCTTTTATTTCTGAGTCCACGCTGACAGCTTTCAGAAAAACAGCCTTCAAACATTTAATGGCAATAATATTTATCTAATAAAACACCACACCACACACCCACAGAATAACCTCTTCAGATCAGCTAACCTTTTAAGGAGTAAACACTTCTGATTGCCCAAATGCAAGACTCCAGTAAGCACATTCAACAATGCCATTTCATTTCAGTCTCATTGAGAACGCAACCCTTATTCAATTGGGGCATATTTACCTTCCCGTTTTTGAAGCATCAGCTTGAGTTTATTTCCACTTGTGCCACCTAAAGGAATGAAAATAGAAGTCAGGTTCAGAGTTGCATTGTACTCTTTAATTTCTCAAATGCAAAAATCAGAGTTGAAAAAACTCATTGCCTGCCCCCTGATTTGGCAACTTGATAGTATTACGGTGTTGGATGTTTGCTGTGCTCCACGTCAGGCAGGAAAAACAGTTCAGGCTGCCCATGGCTCAGACTGGTGACAATGACCATGGCTGACCAAGAGCATTATGATTTGAGCTAGTGCCTGGGAAAAGTGACATTGTTCTTTCAGCCCTTCTGTCTTATTATGAGGGCCAGCCATCTGTCACATGTACCTTCCTTCAGACTTTCACTTTTCATGGTCCCCCCCACAATTCATATCCACCTGGAACCTCTGAATGTGAACTTATTTGGAAATGTGGTCATTGTAGACATAATTAGTTAAGGATCTTAGGTGCTATCACACTGGATTTAGGGTAGACTCTAAATCCTATGATCAGTGTCCTTATAAGAAGAGGAGAGGATGCAGAGAAGGCAGCAGTGTGAAGATGGAGGCAGCAGAAATGGGAGTTACGCTGCCGCAAGCCAAGAACACACCTTAGCGCTCTAAAAATTCAGCCCAGTTTTGTGGCTTGTCCTGATCGTCTTATCATCACGCATTATTTATACCATTTGCTGTTATTTTTATTCAGTTCTAAAAGTATTTCTAATCAGCCCAATCATTTTAATGGAAAATAACATGTCTGGCCTGATAAATCCCCCACTCCGCCTGGTGAGCTGGTTTGAGGACCTATCAATGCCTCTGACCCTTAAGTGCTACATGTAAGGCTTGTCCTCTGAAGGGGCAACCAAAGCTCTGGGGAAAAGCCCAGTCTCAAGGAGTGAGCTCAGCATCTTCAGGTGTGAGGTGCCAGCCTGGCCCCAGGGTGGAGACGCGCATTAAGGTGGTGATGCTGACCTCTCATGGGTCCTTTACCTCTGGCTCCATGCACAGGCCCCAAGGCCTGTGTTTCCATCTGCAAAAGTACAGCTTTCTGGGAAAAGGAGCCATAGCTTTTGCCAGATTCTCAAAACTATTTGGAACCCAAATAAGATTAAGCAGCCCTGCTTTATCTTAGGGTAGACAGTTTGGGGGGAAAATGCCTTTGTAGTCAAAAGTCACAAATTGGCTGCCCACAGCTGAGCTTTTTCTGCAGATGCGTTTTATTGGCGTGCCCAGTGTTTACAAAAATTGAATTTGAACACCTCTGGGCCCAAGTGAGTCCATAAACAGCCACTTCACCTATTGGCCCCTTGTAGGCATTTGAATTTGAGTGCTACCCAACTGCTTTTAGAGTAGGTGTGCCAGGCAAGGAGCCTGGTTTGGGAAGAACCTCTAGGGTCCACACTCAAGGACTAGGTGGTGCAGGTGGTGTTGTCCTTGCATCACGTCTTCTATAGCAGGGCTGGGTGTCTGCTGGACTGTGGGCTTGGATAGTAGCACAGCATGCAACACCTATCGAAGAGTTCGGTAGTTTCTGTTTTCTATGCCTGCATCACTCTGCAGTGATGTGGTTGTTTAAAGCAATTGCAATTTTAGGCTGCATTCATAATAGGTTAGCACCTTGCAGAAAGGAAGTAGTTGTCCTGTCTCTGTTCTGTCACTACTCTGATCAGACCACCCCTCTACATGTGGTTCAGTTCACATCTGACTTTCAGAAGGTCACAGAGAAACTGGAGTTGTGGTCAGAGGAAAGAGTCCAGGGAGGAAAAGGACCCATAAATATGTTACATGAGGGAAAAAGTAAAGCAATTTAGATGTGTAACCTAGAGAAATGAAAACTTCTGGGAGGAGAGCTGCAGTTCTAAGGAGCCAAGGCACCATAGATTAGAACATGATGTTAGGTTTGCAACGTCTGGGCAGCCCCCCAGCAAAGTTGGCATAAGTCACCCAAGAGGTTTCACATCAAGAGTCGCTGGAGGCTTCTGAGCATAAGTAATTGGAGAGGAACTGAGGCTACCTTAGAGGGGATCATTTAGAGGGGGTGGGACTACTCTTAAAAGCTGTACTTCTCCTCCAACCTTAAGAGTCAATGAAGAAATTGATGGAAACATTTGCCAAAGCACACAGATATGTTCCTTGGCACAAATATTAGCATTCATTACTATCTTAACATTTGTTGCTCTCTAACAACTCATGCAAAATTAAGTCCGTCCATCTGCTTGCCTTCTGTAAAAGCACTGAGCAATTAATGAATGAAATGTGGTCTGATGCTGAAATAGATACTGGGTTTAGGCATTTGTGATGAGGCTGCAGCAAATATGTCACTACTGCTCCAGAAATGAAAGCCTCACCAACTCTCAGCAATACATCTGAAAAGCATGGATAAATCCTAAATTGTGAATTATTAATTTGCCACTGTGCCAATTACTACACACTGAACTATAAATATTAACACATATGATTGGATACCACAATAAATTTGTTTGAAGAAAACAACAAAAAGCAAGTGAATAATCATGACTTATTTTTTCTGTAGTATGGATTTTTTACGTTTTTTTTACCCCAACATCATCAGTCACTATTTCGAGGCTGATAATAGGCACTCCTGAATTTATTAAACCCAGTTACCTGGCATAGATTTCCCAGCAGATTCAGAAATGCAAGATGCCCTTTGAGATGCCAGCTATTAATCAATTGCTCAAGAATGGCAATGATCATTTTTTCCATTAAATGTTTTTGGGTGTCATAAAGAGCCACCTTTGGGACTCTACATATATATAAAGATTTTCAATTTATGTCATAAGAATTTTCACATTCCAGCTCAATGATGATACTGTAATATTTTAACTGACATTTTCACTACATTCTTTGTATGAATGACATAAAATACAAATCCTGAAAAGGAATAGGCTTATAGCCAATGCTCATTCACTTTAATAGGATGTACCTCTCAAAATGGGAGGAACAAAGGGCGAGAGGTAGATAAATCATGTATTGGGAAATTATTGATTAGTGTCCCCGATGGTTGGAATTAAGAACAGCAGGAATCCTCCCTGCTTGTAGATGTCCCTTGCTGTCCTAGGGACCCCGGAGCTCCAACCTCAGGGCTCCTCCTGCATGCCTCCTCCCTCCTTTCTGCCAGTAGCTTGGTTTTCTGTACTTTAAGTAAGTAAAATACGGAAGCTGAGCAACCCAGCGAGTTTGCCATTTCCATCAGATAGTGCCCGGCTACTTTTCGGTGGGAAAAACACGTCTCAGGTCTTGGGCAAGTCGCTTCACACCTTCCAGTCCCTGTTCCCTGAGCTATAGATAGGGGGTTACAGTCGTGAGCCTCAAAGGCGCTCATGCATGCTTGAGGCCACTCGTGAACCACAAAGGATCACACCACTGAAGGCAGCACTGTCCAGACAAAATATATTAGTTCAGATTGCACATCTTAAGGTGGGGTCTGTGGACTCCCAGGGTTCAGATGTCTGAACACCCACCAAATGCCTTCATTTTGGTAGTGTGTGTGAATGTGCACATTTTATAGGGAACTAAACCCGAATTTTCAACGGATTCGCTGAGGGCTCCATGAGGTGGAGAAGGTGAAGCATTTCTTCTTTAAGAGCAGTTCCTCTATATTGGATGTGAGACCTGCCGACTGCTTTGCATATCTGGAACTTGACCCAGCCAGGAAATAAATGCCTGGAAGGGAATCTGAATGAAGATGCCTTTTGGCTCTCCTCAGTCCTGGGGGGAATGGGGGAGGGGGACAGGTTTCCGGATTCAAGCTCCTATTACCCTTCCCCCACTGACGTTAGTGCTGAAACACTTCTTGCTCCTTCTTCGAACCTCTGCCCCTCATTTTCCCCCAGCATAATCACGCATATCTCAGACTCCTGCCCTTGACCCTGGTACCCTGTCCTCCTGCCCAAGCACTCCACTTCCTACTCGTGCAAATGCAAAACCGGAGACCTCGATCACCCCTTGGACCTTGCACCGATCTCCCTCCTCTGCCCCCTGGCATCGCTCCACTTACCTGGGCCCAGACACAACAGCAAGAACAGAGCCAGCGCAGTCACCGCCAGGACTGCGGGCCGCGGGGAAGAGGTCTTGGCCATGGCTGCACCAACTGGGCAGGGGGGAAACGCGCGCGTCGCTCGACTCTGCGCAGGAGGACTGGCGCGCCGGAGAGAGGGGCGCAGGTGGGCGGGTGCTGCCTGCGTCCCCGACGGGGCGGGACCCGTGGGGCGGGCGCGGTGCCAGTGGGCCGTGGGCCAAGCGGCCTCGCGGAGCGCATCCGAGCCCTGCTCTCTGGCTCCAAGGCCACGGATGCTCGCGGAACTGGCAGTGAAGCCCAGAACCTCCGGGGGCCGGGCGCAGCGTGGCCTGAGAGAACCAGCGGGGTGCCGGCTGCTGAGGGAGGGATTGACGCCATCCAGGAGGGAAAAGGCTGTCGCCCAAGGGAAGGATGGGAGACGGACTGCCTACCGCGCGCGGCCCAGGTCTCTCCCTCTCCCCAGCCGGGATCGCTGACCCCCCGTGTGGTCCTTGTCACCCCGAGGTAGTACTTCCTTGCTTTTTCATTCTGCTCGCTCCACCAGGGCCTGGCTCTTGCTTTAGCTTATAAAGTGGCCTCTGGAATTTCCTTAATTCCCCCACTGCACTTAAAGATGCCTTTGGCAGTGCTGAGTTTGGGATATTTTGAAAGACTCCACCGTTTGGACTCAGAGCTGCAGTCCAGGAAAACATCTCGTTCCAAACTACTCTAATAGAAAAGTCTTTCAGAAACCAGGAACTGTGTGACCTCCATAGGTGTTCGCAGAACAAACGCGTCCCATTGTGCGCTCTGTGATCCAAGCACACTAAAGCAGGCCCAGTAAAGGCCTGTTCAGATACAGAGGACTCATAGCAGGCAGGGTGGTGCGGTGAAGGAGTGCTAAGACTAACGTGTCTCAGCTGACTTTGAGCTGGTCACCTAATTAGTGTCTCTTGGCCTCTGGCTACCACGTGGCAGCAATGTTGAAATTACCTATAGGGGCCGCTCCATCTAAGATCTACTCTGAACGAAGCGGTTTTTTTTTTAATACCTTCCCGTGGTAAGTCTCACCATAATTAACCTTCCAAGTAATGCAGTTGGATTTCTCCAGCAGGCAGCAGGAAAGGAGCGAGAAAAGGCAGATGGTGCAGAGTGAAGGAAAAGTGTGAAGTGGATCTGACAGAATCACAAGGACTTGGGCTGTGCAGGCTCCTCAAGGTGCCCGAGTGAAGCAGGATGATAATGTTATATGTCGAATGATTGTAGGGAAAAGCTTAGAAGCCCTTAGGGAAACTCTGAAGTAGGGGGTAGGATTTTTAAAAGCTACTAAAAAAAGCAATATGTTTACTTTTGCCCAAAGATAAGAAATTCATTATTAGGAAGAAAATCAAAGCAAATAGAAAGCTGAACTTGTGTTTGGATTGGTTTAGAACATACATTAAAGGTATTAATTATAATCTCTTATTTGTCTTATTTGTGGATCATCCCCTCTACTCCAAATCTCCAACAGAGTTTGCTTCTAATATGACATTCAAGCTCTCCTCTTAACTAGGATCTGATCAGAACTGAGTTCATGGAGCCAATGGGGAACACTATCCACCTCCATGGAAAATGTTCTTTTCCATTTTTTGGAAGCAGGCCCATATTTTATGCCTTCTGCCCATCCCCTCAGGTATACACTTGAAAATGCAGAGTGGTGATTTTATTTTCTGTTAATTCAAAGACTCCAAGGGGAGAAAAGTCAGCTTTAATCAGCTCATACAGTTGTAGGATTTGAAGACGAAGTGAACATTGAATGGGCTTATATTAAACCAATAAAACCTTGATTACTGATTTAATATAATAGAATTGGTAAGACAAATCAAGGATCCTACAGAGAATTATTTTTTAAATAATTGCCAGTCAGGTCCGATCATTTCTTGAGCGTTAGGCCCAGATTCCTCTCCCCAGGGAAGGGACTGAGATGAGCTCGTCCTCCTGCCACCTCCAAACTCCTCCGCCTGACGTCCTGGGGGGCCGGGGAGAGCAGCATCTTTCACAGGAGGGGCAGTGACCAGAGGACATTGCCAGGACAATATACTGACGGTAACTCTTCCTTTTGAAGCAAAGTCTCCACTTTCTATTAAGAAGGTAGAAATGATCACTATTTGAAATAAAGGACCCATTTGGTAATCACATAGAGCCCGATGTTTGCTTTCAAAATGAGAATGGTTTCCAGGAGATTCTACAGTCCTGGGTAAGTGGAACATTACACACCCTAAACAATGACTGAATTCTCCATCTCTGCCCATAAGAGACACAGCCTCTTCACACAAAGCTTTTATTGAAATATAATACAGAAAATTGTGGAGATCAAATGTGTGGCATAATGATCAAAAAACAACATTATCCACACTCCAGGAGACCTTGTTCCCTTCCAGGCGCGCTTCACCCCATATGTAATGTAACATAATAATGTAATTGAAGGCAATCCTCTTTTAAAAACACTTTATTGGTATTTTATTTTCATTTTCTTAAAAAAAACTTATAAAATAAAGACTTATGGTTACCAATAGGAAGGTATTAATTAATAAAAAGAAGTGTTAAAAGTGTAAGATGTAGGACTGTGTCAATTTAATCCAGTTCGATTGTGCTCAATCTTGTATCCACACCTACTTCTCAAAATGCTCACTAGACGTCTTTACCTAGACACTATTTCAGAGTGAACCATCTTCGGCTCCAGTACTCTTGTTTGCCTTACACATTGTTGGTGACATTTTATCACCACTAACAAAACAGCACAGAGTACGCTCATCTACCTGTCTCATTTAGTTTTTCATCCATTTCCATTCACATCGTGGGGTTGATGGTTTTACTTGGATCCTGTTCAGTGGGGATTTTCCTCTCTCCACACAAATGTAGAGGAGGACCTTGGGAGAAAGGCAACTTTGACCAGGCCCCAATAGCCATTACCGCCTCTTCTTTCAGCATGAGATTCCAGGGTGTAATGGAAGTCCCATGTCCCTCACAAAGTAAACAGCCATTTTAACAAGCAGTGAGTGTTCTGTGGCAGGGACCCACTCACTCTGCCTTCCTGGGGAGCTGCTAAACTCAGGTGCTCTTGCTGGAAACACTGAGTCATTTTCCATATCAAAGTTTCTTCCATTTGTTTATTTGTTGAACAGTATTTACTTGTAAAATGCTAACTATACATGAGACACTGTGAGAAGTCCTTTTCTTCTTATTGAATTAAATTTGTCATCCTCAAGTGCATGGTTCTCCTTTCTCCCTCTGCTAAAGCTGGTCCCTTCTTTATTCCAATGTCTCAAACATCATCTAAAAACCCCAAGGTGCAGGGCCGGCTGAGTGGCGCGTTGGTTAAGAGCTGGCTTGGGACGCCAGCTCTGAGCAGCAGGGCCCTGATTCAGATTCCACATGAAGGCCAGTGACACTGCCCTCTACAGCTAAGATGGTGAGCAGCAGCTCCTCCTAGAGCTGGGCTGCTATGAGTCGCCGCTGACGGGTAGGCTGCAGCCCCTGCTGCAGTGGGCTGCCATAAGCTACCATGTGTAGCTGGCAGCCAGTGTGAGTTGCTGGCAGCTGGTGTGAGCTGCCAAAGAGCGGCTGTGAGTGGGCCATCAAGAGGCCGGCGACTGATCTGCCTCACCCAGGAAGAGCGCAATGATCATACCAACATGGGCCAGTGAAGCAATGTCCTCCACAACTAGACTGAAGAACAAAAGGAAAGCAATTTATCTGTTCCACTTCCCCGATTCCCCAATGCTGTTCCCCTCCTCCAATTCCCCAATAAAATCTTAAATAAATAAATAAATAAATAAATAAATAAATAAATAAATAAATAAATAAAAACCCCAAGGTGCATATGCCTGGGTCACACTCCCTGGAATTCTGATCTAGTTGGTCTTGGCTGGGCCCAGGAGTCTGCATTTTTTTGAAAGAGCTTTCTAGGAGATGCTGATGTTAACATTGCTCAGAGTGCGCTCAGACACTCAACTGTCCACCAAAACTCATCTACTTCCCTCAGTCTTCCCCTGGCCTCACTCACCCCAACATTTCCCACCATTTACCATAGCAGCCCCAGAGGGTTCTTTTCTATGATTTGGCACAGTAGCTGAGAACACAGGCTTTGTCATGTGTCCTCTCTAGGCCTGGTTCTGCACAGAGGGGGAAATATTGAGATCAGAGATCACACATACAGAACTCGCTATGTAGGGAACACCTAATAAATGCCAGGAGAGGTTATCATCACCGACACTTCCCTCTGACCTCTCCATTCATAGTGCTGTGACACCTGTGTGCCCCTCCCTCTCCCCACCCGCCAGCCTAGGCCAAGTGCTCAGGAACCCTTATTATGGATGGGTCCCAACCCACTTTATGATCATACATCATCACCTCATTACCATACATTAGTACCTCATTATCATACATGACCAGATTGACCTTCTCAAACAGAGCCCTGACATGGCATCCCCCGCACCTCTCTTTTACTTCTAGTTCACAGGAAATGTAGCGCTAGAAAAACATGCTAAGTGACATCACCAGGTGAGGGTGCCATGAAACTAATGCACACTGGAAAGTTCTGCAGGGTGAACAGCACTGGAAAGAGGGCAGGTCTGATGCGGAACTGCTACTCATTACAAGAGGCCTCAAAGCCAAATCAGCCAAATGCAGTGTGGGACCCAGCTTGACTCAGAATAAAACAAACCAAGAATAAGAAGATGACAGGAGAAATTTGATCACGGAATGGGTTTCCTATTAACTTTTAGTTGTGAAATGGTTTTACACTTACTTTGTTAAGCCCTTATCTGTTAGAACTATATACTGGAATACTTATGGGTAAAATATGATATATGGAACTTGGCTTCAAATATATCAGGAAAACCTGGCAAATATTGGTAATTTTTTTTTTGCTAGAAAACCACATATACATTTTGAGCCCAATTGTGATATGTACAGGGATTTTTATATGGTTCTCTGTATATATTTACAAATTTCCGTGGTAAAAAATTAAAAACATTTATACAGAATCTTAGTGGCTTCCCATTGACTCCAGAATCTAAAACATACACATGACCTCTAGATTCTCTGTTTAGCCTTTAAATGTGTGCAACAGTTATTTTTTCCCTTATACTTTCTGTATGTTCCCCAACTTCCCCAAAACTTAATTTTTGCATATACAGAGCGTGCCAAAGAAATGTATACACATTTTAAGAAACGAAAAAACTGTATTGAAATTGTAATACTCAACATATACTGATAACAAAACATGAATACAAGTCACGTTTGACTTCTGCAATTACAAGAGGTGCTCAAAGTGGTTACCATCAGCAACCAGACACTTCTGATTATGGTGAACTACTGCTTGTGCAACATTGACCAAAGTGTCCA